GGGAATTTTTACAGTTCGTTGCATTCTAAAAGGTGGAAAAAAAGCTGTATAAATAAATCTTTTTTCATTCCCCCTGAAAGAAAGAAAGAAAGGCTATGGTCTATCGCCGTGTCAACAACACTTGAACTGGACCACATATTACGTATATCGGTATCAAGGGCAATTTTTATATTCTTTTATTTAAAATCAAATTTCTTTTCAAATTTCTTCTAAAACTCGAATTTTTCAATAATTTTACATCTTTACTGTACTTTTGTTTTAGATTACTGAAACAATTTTTTTTGAAAACTAGTTTTCACTTTTACTTTTTTGCTATTAAATTAAAAAAGTGAAACTAACATTTTTATTATTTACTTTAGCATTTTTTATTGAGTTCTAATTAACTTTGCTGAGATTTTATAAGTTTTGCCTGCCAATGGATTTATCAAAAAATGTACGATTTATTTGCTGGTAAATTTTTTAATGAATAGAATAGTTTCTGCCCGTTTAAATTGATAGAATGACAATTTTTATATTTGCTTAAATGAAGCGAAGGTAAGTTCCGGAGTGGGAGTCATGAGAGCGAGAGAGAGAAAAGAACTTCTCTCTCTCGCTCCCATTGCCCCCACTCCGGAGCCGAGGAGGCGCGGACCGCCAGCGAAGGAGTGGGGACAATGGGAGCGAAAGAGAAGTTTCGTACCTTCCTTCTCTCCAGCCGTTGCTCTTGCGCACCCCTTCTCCTTATGTACCTTTGCGCTCCATTTAAACAAATGATTTTTGTGAATAAACAATAGAATTTTTTCCTTAAAAAAAAAAATTTTCAAAAGAAAAAATTCTTTTTTCTTGAGAGCAATCCTCACTAAAAATTGCAATGAAAAAGTATTTTTTTCGACTCTAGGCGACACGTTCGAGAAATCGTCTCATTAAATAGAATATTCTTGTCTATATTTATAATAATAATAATAATATAATATATCTCAATTACGTATATATTGTTGTCGTGTGTATCATAAAAACTAAGTGTCGATAACTAATTTTACAACACAGCACAAAATTCGCAGCGCGAGATTTTCGATTATCCCTTCGGCGAAAGTCGATCGATTGATCGATCGCCTCTCTTTGGGCCGACAATTATTCACTTACATTCACTTCAGAAACACTTGATCATCTTTTTATTTAAACTAGACGCTCTGATTTCGGATAAAAATTAATTTTTTTTGTGTCTCTGTATAATTTTTGGATCAATTTAAAAAAAATCTTTCTTTTTCAAAAAAATTTTTCTTTTTTTGGAATTTAAACGCCGAAAATAAATTATAAAAGATAAATTTCTGTTGGTTGTATTACTATTAATAAATGTTAATTTAGGATCAAATTTAACGTGTCGAGTTTTGTTGCGCTCTGAAGACAACGCACACATCAGGAATGACTAATTGTGAGCTTTCAACAAAAGATCTTTTGATGTCTGTTAATTTTAATGCGCAACACCTCTAAGCACAATATAATTGAGTTTTCGAAAATGAACTCAAAGCATCTAGTTATTTTTTTTTACAACAAGAAAATTTTATTATTTTCAGGCCTCGAATATTATAACTTTTTCGACTTTTTTCAACTATTTTCAAAAAATGCAACCTTTTTCGAATTATTTTCAAAAATTTCGACTTTTTTCCAAATATTACAACAAAATACCAATTTTTCAATATAAATTGCAAATTGTTTCGATTTTTCTAGTGTGAAAAATAACTAAAATATCTTTCAAAATTTATTTTTAAATAATTTTTCTAATTCAATTTTCGAAATTTACAATTAAAAAGATTTTGAATAATTGAAGTTTGGTAAAATTTAATTAAAAATAATTGACTTTTTTCAAGTATTTTATTAAAACTTTTCAAAATCAACTTGGAAACTTTGAAAAGAATTAACTTTTCAAAAATTTTGAATAAAAAATCTTCAAGTGTAAATTGAAAAATAAAATAAATTAATGACAATTCGCTTCTGAAAATATTATTCAAATAATTTTCAAAAAACAAATTCTTTCGATTTTTTTTATTCTACTTTTTTGAAATTAAATTATTTTCAATTACATATTTCCAAAAATTCCAATACATTCAAAAAATAATAACATTACAATTTTTTTAAAGAATCATTTTTAACATTTTGAAAAAAACAATCATGTTCAAAATCTTTAATTAAAATTTATCAAAAAAAAAAAATTGTTTTTTTAAATTACAGAAAAATTCTTTTAAGAAATTCAATTATTTTCGGAAAATTACATTATACAACATTTTTAAGAAACTAATTCTTGAAATTGTTTTATTGTCTTTTTTTAAGATTCAATTATCGTTCAACAAAGTAAATTAAAATTTTTTATAAATTTACTTTCTTACACTTATTAAAATTTAGAAAAAATTATTTTCACATTTATAATCAAAATTCTTCAAAAATTTGATTTTTTTCATATATTTTTCAAAAAGTTAAATTATTTTGAAAAGATTTTACCAAATTTCAATTGTTTGTAAATTTTTCAATTTAATATAATAATTGAAAAACTTATATCTTACAAAAATTATCTAAAAATATTTTTTAAAAATTAATTTTAAGAATTTCTATAGTATAATTTTTAAAAAATATTATTAAAAAAAAACGTGGACAGTTACAATTATAAAAAATTGAATTTTTGTAATTAAATAATTGAATTCTTAAAGAACTTGAGGAAAATTATTTAAAATATTTGATTTAGAGATGAAGTTTAGTTATAAAAAATAATTGAAGAAAATAATTGGATTTTTGAAGTTGTAATTTTCACAAATTATTATATTTTAGAAGGTTGTAAATTGATATTTGTATTTTATTTTTATTTTCTTATTTTTATTTTCCATGCAAAATAAAAAAATAAGAAGTATTTAAATATTTATTTAAAGAAAAATTATTCAAGTTTTGAATAATTGAATTTAGAAAGAAGTAAAATGCCAGGAAAAATACAAAAAACATTTTTGTGACAGTAGTGAATAAATAAATTACTTTTTAGACTTTTTTTTTTTTAATCGACTTAAAGTGATTTTTTTGCGCCTTAAAGTCGATCCGAGGCCTTTATTTTCGGAAATAAAATAAAAATCTGTTTTAATTTTAAGTCATTTCTTTAACTCACAAGAAAAAAATTAAGATTTCTTCAATTTAGAGAAGACGAAAAAAAAACCATCGAGTTGAAAAATCTGCGCAGCCCCACTCTCCCTCAGCGCGTCCAATAATCTGCGCAGTGTTTCGAAAAAAGTCTTTTTATTCCAAATAAAAGCAATATTTTTTAAAAAGATTTTCAAGTGTTTCATTAAATTTCATAACTCTGGTAACTTGGCCTCATGTCTGCGGAGCAGGGACAAAATTTTTTTTTTCCGATGATGATAAATATTTATTGCTCCCTATTTTCGATAATCTCCAGTTTAACGTTGTATTTTTATTTACAAATAGGTGGAGAATCACAAAGGGCATAAGTATACCTATAAATATATATTTATATTTATGTATATATTGTCGAAAATAATTACTACACTCACTGATCCGAGATCATCATCCACAATTTTTTTTTCTTTGTGGATTTTTTTTTCTTTCTCTATAAAAGATTGAATTATGCCCATTAAGACAAAAAACTTTCATTGGTTAGGTATATTAACGCCCGGCAAAAATAAAAAAATGGACAAAAAAATAAAATATTCACAAAAAATGAAATTACAAAAAAAAAATCTGTGATGGAAAAATTTTTATTTACGTATTTCTTTCGTTTATTTACAGTTAAAAAAAATTCATATCACACTTGAAGAATATTACCCTTGTGCAGTAAAAAAGTTGCGCATTTGCCATAAGATTAAAAGTCGCTTACTTTGTAAGCGACTTTTAACCTTCTGGCAAATGCGCAACTTTTTTACTTTTGGGAGCAGGTTTAAAAGTTTTTATGGCTTTAGAAAGATGGAAAAATACGTAAATAAAAATTATATTTCCAAAAAAAAAAGAAAATTAAGGGTGCAAGAAAGAATTTATTTCTTATAGAACTGACCTTGAGTATAGTTGGCGCAAAGTTTCCTCTCTGCTCCGCCGAAGGGCACTGTAGTCGCATTTTCCGGTTATTTTCTTTTTTTCCCTTTTTTAATTTTGCATTCAAGATTATCATTCATTCCATTTTTTTTTTTTGAGAAATAATCTATTATATGGATTACACGTATCACCGTATCACTGGGTAATAATAAAAACGAGCAGATCGTATTTTTCACGAAGACGCAAAAGCGGGTATTAAAGAAATAACATTTTCCCTTTTCGTCTCTGGAAAATTTCTCCACATTTTCTCTCTCCGTTAAAGAAAAATTCGTTTCAGTAATTTAAATCCCAGGAAGAATAAAAAAAACTTTTATCTTCTTGATCTTTTGTTTCAAAATCTTTTCTTGATGAAAATCTTTTTTAATGAATTTTTTTTAGCAAATAAAAATGTTTTCCTTTGGGTGTAAATATGATTTTTTTGTAATATTTTTTTTGTAAATATTTTTTTTTAAATGCATTAGATTTTGACCCACTTCCCTTCCGTGAGAAACATCAGATCACACTTGGCACGTCGGGAAATTATTCTTTGCCGAGCCACTGGCGGTTGGTAGAGGGACTCTATCTAAACGATCTCTATGATACTAAAACCGTCTACCTACCGCTAATAGATAATTGGATAATCATTATCTACACTAACAAACTTTCTAGGTACACTACGTATTTCATTCTATACGTAAGGGAATAAATAATAATAAAAATTTTCCTATCAGGTCTCATACGACATATTTTTTTTTCTCTCTTTTGCTCGGGGACACATTCATTCATTAAAAAGACTCTCGTTCACTCTCTTTCATTCTCAAAGTCACATTAAGTTACGTATATTTTCGTATCTCTCTTTCTATATATATAGGCTTTAAATTACATTCGATTAAACGTAATAGAGGTTAACGCGGTTCTGATTAGCATGCGATCCAGTTTTTTTTTAAACACCGTTCTTATCAGTATAATTGCGCATTCCCGTAAATTTTTTTTTTTTTTTTTTGACTGGATTTCCAATTGGACACCTCTCTTTTCTGACTGGTATATGAGATTCTCCTCTGGTCCGACATCATCTTCTTTTTGGTACGAGCAACTTGATTAACACGACAAGATAAGCGTCATTGCTGTTTTTTTTGGGGGGGAGGTCATTTGGAGGTCATCGGGGGAGGAGGTAGTGGAAACAAGGTTTAGAGAAACCCTAGGACTATGGAAACTCTGGGAAAAGAGTTTTTCTAGTTCCTTTAGTGTTCTCATCAACCCTGGGGCGATGTTTGTGGTGAAATGTCCGTTTCACCATCACCAGAGCCGGGCTCGCCCTTCGTTTTATTCTCTTTCTTCCACTTCATTCGTCTGTTTTGGAACCAGATTTTTATCTGTCTTTCCGTCAGGCAGAGGGCGTGCGCGATCTCGATACGTCGCCGCCTGGTGAGATATCTATTGAAGTGAAATTCCTTTTCCAGCTCCAGTGTTTGGTATCGGGTATAAGTTTGCCTTCCCCGCTTCCTCTCTGCAACAAAAATCATTTTGCTTTTTAGTTAACTAATTCATTTAATGATTTGCTTTAGTAAATTAATTATTATCTGAACTTACAAACTAATAAATTTAATTAATTCTAACCGATTGAAATGGGGACTGATTTTTATTCGGGCGGAGCGTTACTTTTTGATGATCCTCATTTTAACACCTCCAAATAAATCAACGGAAAATAAACATTGAAAAAAATAAATAAAAAATAAAATTAATAATAATCAATAATAAAATTAATAAAATTAAAAGAAATTTGTTACAAAAATTTTAAAAAAATTCAAAAGATGATAACTGCCATTGTCATTTATATATACTTTTATACGAGATGTTGGCCATATTTTAAAGATTGAAAAAAATTGTTCGAAATTGCACAAAAAAAAGTATATGGGCAACCACTAGAATCAATTTTTCCGAAATTTTTACATTTTTTAGCAAATTTTATACAATTTACGAACTATATGGAAAGAGTCTAGCAAAGTATGGACAACGGCTATAATAAATTTTTCCGAAATTTTTTACTTTTTTATCAAATTTTATTTATTTTTCTAACTATGTGAAGAGGATAGCAAAAGTATGGGCAATGGTTAGAATCATTAGTAAAATAAAAACACTTTGTTGAAATTACAGAAAAATTCCCCAAAAATTAATTTTTGTAATTGCATTCTTTGCCATATACTCTTCTGATAAATTCTTTTGGAAAATGTATAAAATTTTCTAAAAATAAAAAATTGCGGAAAAATTGATTCTATAGTAGATCTATATATATTATACATCACCAAAACTTTTAAGCAAATTCCACAAATAATGAAGAATATTTCATAAATTTTTGAGAAAATTTACAAAAAAGTTTTGGGGGAAATTTATTGCTTACTAGGGAATTTCCATAAAAAATTGTTAAAAGTTTATTAAAAACGTCTAAATAAATTCCACAAACATTTTTGAAGATAATTCATTAAAAATTTTTGGGGAAAATTTATTTTTAATTAAAATGCTATTTCCACAAAAAATTGAGGAAAAATTACTAAAAAATTTTTGAGAAAATTATTTTTAATTATGCGATTTTTACAAAAAATTGAGGAAAAATCACTTAAAAAATTTTAGAGAAAATTCATTTTTAATTATATGTGATTTCCACAAAAAATTGAGGAAAAATCACTAAAAAGTTTTGGGGAAAATTCATTCCACAAAAAATTATGGAAAAATCACTTAAAAATTTTTAGAGAAAATTCATTTTTAATTATGCGATTTCCACAAAAAATTGAGGAAAAATCTCACTAAAAAGTTTTAGGGAAAATTCATTCCACAAAAAATTGAGAAAAAATCACTAAAAAGTTTCTGAGAAAATTCATTTTTAATTATATGCGATTTCCACAAAAAATTGAGGAAAAACCACTAAAATATTTTAAAGAAAATTCATTTTTAATTATGCAATTTTCAAGAAAAATTGATGAAAAATCACTAAAAAGTTTAGGGAAAAATTTATTTTTAATTATGCGATTTGCAGAAAAAATTAAGGAAAAATCACTAAAAAGTTTTGGGGAAAATTCATTCCACAAAAAATTATGGAAAAATCACTAAAAAGTTTTAAAGAAAATTCATTTTTAATTATGCGATTTTCACAAAAAAATTGAGAAAAAATCTTACTAAAAAGTTTTAGGAAAAATTCATTTCACAAAAAATTGAAGAAAAATCACTAAAAAGTTTCGGAGAAAATTCATTTTTAATTATATGTGACCGGGTCTGAGAAAAGGGACCTACTTTCAAAAAAATCGATTTTTTCTATGATGGTTTCTTATAGTTTAAGGTCTTAGAAATACAATGCAATCAGTCCCGAGTTTTAAAAAAAATTTTTTGCAATTGTTTAAACAAATTTTAAAAAAAAATTTTTTTTAATTTTTTTTATGAAAATATAAGTAATTTTAAGACAAAAATTACTCTTGGTTGTCTAAGTGTCAAGAATATTTCCCCTAAATCTTAAATTGAATGCCTAAACCATTTACAAAAAATTCGACTTAATTCCTCGAAGATGATCCTCAAGTATACCCGTCATCGGCAACCTGGTTGTGCAAGTCAAAAAATAACTATGGATTATTGTTTAGAATTATTCATTATTGTATCAGTTCTGAACTTGCATAAAAAATTTCAGACCTCTAGGACATCCGGAAGTCATTTAAATTAATTTTGAAAATTCCATAATTTGACTTTTGCAAAATAAATTGTTTATAACAATTACAGGGTTGTTTGAACAATTATTTAATCATAAAATCGGATTCGACGTATAAAAAAATACATAAAGAACACTCATCATGTTAATTTAAAATGTAAATTGTTTCAAGAAATCTAATTTATTTGGATAGAAAACTTTAAACGCGTTTTTCTCGAAAAGTTGTGGTGTGAAAATGAAAATTTTCGATGAGTGTTATCATTTTTCTGGTGTCATTTTTATTGCTCTTTATTTTAACATTTATAAATGGAGTTAAAGTGATACCCCTTGTTTAACTGTGAGGAGGAAACTATTCAAAGAATGTGTGGCGCCACCTACGAGACTTCGAATGAAGGCACACTTTAAGTCTACATAGTTTAATGTCTAGTAAACTTAGTTAGGCTATAATAAATGTTTAAAATCTTTAACTAGGTAGTTAAAAACTAAAAAATCTATACTTAGAACTTAAAAATCTATATTTAGAACATAAAAATCAACTTAAAACTTAGAAATCTATACCTAAAGATTTAAAATCTGATGAAAACTTTAAAATCTACTTTAATATTTATTTGAAATTCAACGTGAAAGTTATTTATTCATATGTACGACATATTCACAGTGAAAAAAGGGTCAAAGACGAGGACTTTTGGTCCGCAAAAAAGAAATCATAATAGAGAGGGGAATGCACCGATCCGCACACATATGATGTATATCGAGTCGGTATCCGCGATGTGATCTGCGCTCGGTGCCGGCAAACATGAGTCCCAAACGAGAATATTAATTGTGCTTACCCAGAGTGTCTGCCTCGCGCAAACTCTCTCTCTCTCTCTCTCTCTCTTTTTCTCGCAGTATAATCTCGAAAAAAAGGGTTAGGTTAGAACCGCCACGTTGCGCACGGCCAGGAGGAATATTTCTGAGTGGGATGAAAAAGAAAAAGAAGAAAAGAATAAAGAAGAGGAAAAAAAAACGAGTCAAAGAAGAAGAAAACTCCTTGGCGAGCATTCGAGGCAAACGCCGCCCGTCGCGCTGTCGGCCGATGAAGACGGATGGCGGTTCTCCTCTCGAGAGAGATGGAGAATTCTTCAGGGGGCTGAAAATCGTTAGGAGAGAGGGAGAAATCCAACAGGAAAGAGATTGAGAGAAGAGAAGTAGGAGGAGGAAAGCTCCAGAGAAAACGAGAGAGAAAAAAAAGAAAGAGAGAGAGAGAGAGAGAGAGGTACACCAAGTGCTGGGAACAAACTCCCCTCGCTTCCTTCCTCAGGGAACGCTCTCAAATTAACAACATACCAATCTCTAGCGCTCCTCTTATAAGCTCTAACAATCTTAAGCAGCTTCCACGAATGTAACGAAAAAACTTCTCCTTTTTTTCACATACACACACTCACAAATACCCCTCCGGCAAACTAAAAGATCTTCCAAATATGCTTTGAATACAAGACCCTGTGTATCAAAACCCACTTTTCAAATTAAGTTTACTAAAATTTTGATCCAAAAAAGAACTTTATTGTTACTTTTTATCATTTTAAAGGATAAACCTTTTCTTTTTTTTTAATAAATTTTGTATCTAAATACAATTTTTTCATAGAATTAAAATTAAGGGAACTTGTGGTTAGATTTTTTTTGCATAGAATTAAAATTAAGGGAACTTGTGGTTGGATTGTTTTTTCATAGAATTAAAATTAAGGGAACTTGCGGTTAGATTTCCCTTAAATTGATATAATGATGAATTTCTTTCGATACTATTTTAGAATGATTAGAATTAAAGATTTGTACAACTCAATTCCTTTTTCGAAACGATCTGCTTAATGATGACATTTGTATTTAGAATCATCAGATGGACGATTCTTTTAGCATCATCCATCAATCTCGAAACAATCATTAGACCACAACAAGCAGCTAATTCGTCAGCTATATTGGAACAAGTCAATTTCACATTTATAGATGAAGATCACAAATGAATGGAGAATTTATATCAAGTTATGTATACAAATTGTATAATCCTATGAGTTTTATTTTACCTCAATAAATCAGTTTTAATTAAATAAATACTAAATTACATTTCACTAATTCACTAAATTCCAAAAAACTATTTTAAGTTTTTTAAAATTACATGTTACTCTTTGATAGTGACATACATTGAAAGCATTTACATTACAGGCCTCGGATCGACTTTAAAAGGGGCAAAAAAAGTCGCTTTAGTCGTTTAAAATTACAAATAAAGTCGAAAAAGTCGTTTCATTTAATTCGGTGTTGTCACAAAAATTTTATTTTGTATTTCCCTGATCTTTCACTGATTTATAAATTCAATTACTCAAAACTTGAATTATTTTGTTAAATAAATATTTAAATACTTCTTATTTCTTTTTAGACTGGAAATAAAATTTTTAAATTTCAATTTAGAACCTTCTGAATACTCACTTTAGAGATGAAATTCAGTTAAAAATTGTAGAAAATAATTTTGTTTTGGATAGTCCTTCCAAAACTCCATTATTTTCTACAATTTTTAACTAAATTTCATACTAAAGACTATAGTCCTTCCAAAACTCAATTATTTTCTACAATTTTTAATTAAATTTTATCTCTAAATCAATTATTTAAATACAAAAATTCAATTTCTTATAATAATTGTTGGTAATTCTTAAAATTAATTTTTTAAAAATATTTTAAAATAATTTTTGAAAGAAAGTAGTGTTTTAATTAAATTGAAAAATTGAAATACCTACAATTCAAAAATTTCCAAATAATTGAAATTTGATAAAATCTAATAATAATAATTG